ATACAATAATTTCAGACCTTGCATAAGTAGCTGGCGATTTACAGAAAACCTCAAAGAACAATACTGTGCTTGCAGAAACGAATTACGAGCTTTAGTATAAGAGCAAAGAGTATTCGAAAATTTCATTTATATACTACGAGATTGCCGCTTGTCGTTCCGACATCCGAGAAAAAGGAAGCTCAACCGAAGCACACATCGCGTTCCAAACCTTGATATATGCATGCGTGTAAATAATTCAGTAAATAAAGTTTAGACATGTGTTGTATATATATATATGTACACGCACGCACGCACGCACGCACATGCGTGTGTATTTATGCTATTATATATTTTATACACACACACACACACACACACACACATATATATATATATATATATATATGTTATTTTATATATATGCATCAATACTTTATTAAATAAATTATTATTTTTCCTCTCAAAAGAAAAAACTTTGACCAGGGCACAGGCACGTTTATATGGGCCTGAGTAGGTCGATAATTCAGATCATTTCTATGGTTCAGCGACGCACTTTTCATGACAGTGCCGCTGTGAATCGTCGGAATATCGCGGAACTAAAATACTGCTCAGTTTCATGGCTTCACGTCAATTTCACTCGTAATATACAAACGAAATTTTCGGATACACCTCTTATACTAAAACTCCTACCGCGTTTTTAAAAGTATAGGATTGTTCGTTTAGGTTTTCCGCAATTCGCCAGCTACTTTTTATGAACGTGCAAGATCTGAAACTCTTATATGCAACACATATTGTGATGTGTTGACTAAAAAAGCCGATAACAAAACTGTAAGTCTTTAATTTTCTTTCGTTTTTCGTATTCAAATGTAGCTGGCGAATTGCGTTGTTGTCGATACTTTAATTGTGGAGAAGGATTTTTCAATCCATAAACACAGTTACGAGAAAGGTGTTTTTAATATTTAATGATAAAACAGGACTCCAGCATCCCCTTAATTCATATGTATATAGCTTATTTAAAATATGTATATAGCTTATTTAAAATATAAATATTAACACATTTATAAAAATATAATATAACCTTAATGTTAATACTTTTAAGCGAAATAAACATCACGCGCACGTAAGATTGCAGAGATGAATATTTCTGATGCACAATTTGTAAATGTTGCACGATTATATGAATCAAGTATCGATTTATCATCTGGAGTTAAAAAGTGGACGTATTACTCTCAGAAAAGTGGACGTATTACTGTTAGAGCTATGTAGTTTACATCCACTTTGCCAGGGGGCAGTAATGCGCGACAGCATGTGGCTACGTTATGGCTGCTGTGCCCAATGTGGCGCCGAGCATGTCTGGGTGCCGGCAATGACTAACTAATGGCGAAGGACAATTGGCGGCAAATCGTTAAGTTTACGAATGAATGTTACTCGTTGATTCTGACTCATATACCGTAAAGCGATTTAATACAAACTTGAATGATTATTTAGAAAGTATAGATTACAAAAATAGAGACGTGATTGTGTGCGTAAGGCGGCTCGAATATCGGTATCGCGTTGCTAGATTAGAATACAGGAAACTAAGAATACACTATGAGTATTTATGACGACGCTAACAATTACCGAATGACATAAGTAATCGATGTCGATCTTGAACACAAGGTGATTCTTAATCTTATCGAGTCTTAATGTATTATCTATAGACTTACACGAGGTCCACACACAGAATACCAGAGAAAGAGAAAGAAAGGACAGCTGGAAAGAAAAACCAACTTGAGCGCCGCAACTAACGCTCGCAACGCGCACAAACATTTTGTGGTTACAAGTTTTGGACCAGCATGTCTTCTCTCAGGTTTCTCTCTGCCCGTATCAAATGCACGATGTAAACTAGGTAATACATAAAATTTTTTACTTTTCTTGATTCCATCCTAAGAAAAAAATTACTCCTATAGGTCTCAAGCACCAATCGCAATTCATCATGTTGTCACTCTCTTTCTATGGATAGTATTCAGTCAGATCTTATATTTAAGACCATGGTGGAAATATACAAGGTGAATCATTGCGCATAATGGCATTGAGGATGGCTTAAAATTTCGACCAATCAGTTGTTATCCAAGCAGAGACGCGCGTATTTTAAGTGTACAAATTGTTAATTGGAAATTAAAACACGATACATAGAAAATTAAATATATTAAATATATTAAATATAAAATGGATATAAAATATGAATATAAAATATTAAGAATAACATACATACTATAACAAAATAATACATAAGTAATTATATTACATATATGCTTCATTTTTTTAATTTTTTTTTGCTATTGCTTATTATTATTCTCGATTTAGTTTTCTAATTCTAATGTAGGTTCGTGTTCGCACTAAACACGCAATAACTTTTCTAGGAAATTCATTTTTTATTTTAGTACATACAATTGAAGTCAATTTATCAAAAATTTTATCCTCTAGATTAAAAAATTGCCCATGATATTTTTGAAATTCTACATTCATCACTTGTACAGCTGATAAAAATTCAGAGGAAGGATGAATACAATTTCCACGCGAGATGAATGACAACTGTCACTAGAGGCCATCATCGATGTTTTACAATCTAAGTGCAGATATTTATGTAAGAAATGTGGTGTGCAACGTATTCTGCTAAATAAGCGCTTGTGACGCGATGTCTTGCTCAGCAATGTTGGCTTTAAATTCCTGTAATAACCATCACTCGTCATCAGTAGCAGAATACTTAATTACTTGTATAGTTACAAATATAGTATAAATATTATTATAAACGATAAAGTAATTGTGATAATGAATATTAAATATTATTTAATACTCATTATCACAATTATTCACCATGATTAATTATTATTATTATTATTATATCATCTCAAACTGTCATGAACCAATTACAGAGCAATGTATTAGCATTTTAACACAAAAAGACTGAATTTAACAACCTCCTTAGAAGGATGATAGAAGCTCTGAGCACGTTTTTTTATTAATAATAAATAAAATGAAACAAAACCTATAGGGATAATTATATTTAACATTGTAATTATAACACTAATATGTACAGGGTTGGCCATATTCGACGGAAAGATGTTTTTTTTTTCAATCATGGGAAAGAGATGTTAGATCGAGTAACGACGTTTCCCATGATTGAAAAAAAAACATCTTTCCGTCGAATATGGCCAACCCTGTATATTGAACAAGAAAATTTTATTCTCACATTACTATATTAAATATTTTTTAATCTTTGTGAAAAATTCGTCAAATATAAAACGAATTTAAAGTTATAAAAGTTGTAAATAAAATTGTAAGTAAAACATATACAAATATAAAAATAAAAATCATATTTAAGACCATACATATGAAAACACAATCGATATATTAGATGCCTATACCGGAAGTTAGATCTTTAATGCTTATATAATGCAATGTGAATTATACATGTATATTATATATGTACATGCATATATACAAATATGTAATATCAGATGTTAAATTAGTGTAATTTATTAAAATATTATTAAATGCCATTATTGGCTCCAATCATCCTTCTTAGTAGATAATTAAATGAAAATTAAACCATCTTATATAATTGAAAATTTTTTTACCAAAATTAAGATACATAATGGAAAGTTACAAAAGAATATCAGATAGAAGCTAAGTCAGATGGAAAAAAAAAGTCACAGTTTTAATTTCGCAAGAAACCTTGGCTACCTTCTAGTGTTAAAGCAATCTTGAAATAAGAATAGATTACGAATATCTAAAAGATTAAAATATCAGCAGTATCACATTCCCATTCTTCCTCGTCACTTTCTTCTTGGCACACGACCATCATTCTCAACATTTGTAGGGTCTTACCTAACACTTTTTTGTATCGCCAAGAAATAATACATTTTTTATCACCAATTTGTCTTGCTCATTTTTTTAAATGTTTGCTTCCATTTCAAATTTGCCATCTTCTAACTGTACGAATAGTGTTGATCTTGGCTGCAAAATTTTCTCCCATTTTTTCCACGTCTCTGCATGCTCTCAATGATCCCGTATTTTTCTTTTAATTCGGCTTGTAGTTGAAGATTTTTGCACATAAGCTGTTCATTTTCGTTTTTTTTTTTCGCTAAATCAATTAACAGTTGTTCAATTTCTTCTGGCGTTTTTATTTTTTTTAATTGCGATGAAGATCTGAAAAATACAAAAAATGAAGTCGCACTTTTGACAATTATTATATAAAGAAAATAAAAATAAAAAGCATAGTGTTTCCGACAAATCACAAATTTTTTGTACATTATATTTAAAAAATTACAAAATAAAAATGTATATTACTTTCTCTAAAATAAAGGAAACAAATAATTGAAAACAATTTATACAATTTTCTGTATTGATACCAATGGATTGGAAAAATGTAAAAAAAATTAATCAAATAGAGATAAAACTAGACACAATTCAACTCTTAGACAATACAATCTGTGAAAACGTATCGGAAAAATAAATTCAATTATTATTATTTTCAATGGATAACATATATACTTTTGTGATAACTCAATGTTTGTCATTAATACTTCAGCATCTTCTTGAATTACTTTTATCGGTCTTTGGTTCATTTCTGAAATATAAAAAGTAAAGTCAATATTCATAAGAAAGAAAATTTATATTAATATGAATTATTATAGAGAATTAATATTTCAGAGAGAGCATATACTCTTCATTAAAATTAATGCTATCCAGCCATTTGCATTTGCTACAAAGCACAGAATTGCTATTGGATTCGTTGATAAGATCTTGTAAGATAATGTCCCCTTCAGGATTATGCTTGGTACAATTAATCAATTCTGTGTACATTGGGATTCCAATGCTAATTATCGTAAACAATACAATGTTGTATATTTCAATGAAAAAGCTTTTTGGATCCCCTAAACTTATTACATCTATGTAACTCAACAAAAAGCAATGACCAGTCATGTTATTATACTATATATATTAAATGTAATTGAATTTAAATTATTTCAAACATAGTTATATGTAATTGAATTTAAATTATTTCAACATATAGTTATATGTAATAATAGATAATAAGAAAATATAATTCAACGATTAGTTACTAATTATCATTGAGTTATGTAAGCCTAACAATTTATTGCGCAAAAGAATTATTTTAAATTCAATTATATTTAACATAAATAATATGTATTAAAATGATTCGTTATTGCTCTTCGCACTAAATTAAACGCACTAAACAAAGCATTACTTGTGCATTATAATGCAATTTTGGCTAGCTAACACATTTATCTTGTAGCTACAAGATAAATTTTACAACTGTGCTTCTGTTGTATGACATTATTCCTATATCAAAGCCATAATATATTTATTTTTATTCTTACCAAACATATTTTTGTGAAGATCCTGCATTATCATCACAAGTTGTCTCAAATGAATGCAACAGCTTTTGCTTTTTATTTGGCAAGTCGAATAACTTTATTAGTACCGATCCTTTTCACAGTGTGCATATAATTTTCGATGAAATGTGTACAGAACGAGGTTTAGTCATTCGATATTTCATACAATTGGAAGAAAAATGTAGCTCACATATCCGTTCTAAAAAAGTAATATAAGTAATATATTTTTAACCATCATAGAAAATCGAACTACTAGTATCACTGCTAATACTGTAGTGCTGATGTATATATAGTAATGTTACTGTTGATATGAATAGTGACACTAATACCAATTTACTATTACAACTAGCAGTGACACTAGTAATATTTTTCTACAAGAGAATTCTCTTTCAGAGTTAATCACTCATATACTTTTACTAAAATAATATAAACAAAACATATAAACAAAACAAAACAAAATTAAATGTATATTTTATTTTTTACGTTAAAAACAATTTAATTTCAATGTAATTTTTGAAATTAATGGAAATAGTAATTATTACCATGCGTAACCTTAAAATTGTCATCTCTGCGACAAGCCTCCAACCATTTCAATCGCAACTCTTGATCTGTAGAGAGTGAAAAGTACTTCACATTCTTATTAAGCACATAATTTGTGCGACTTCTACAATTTTTTACGAAACAACTTGGCATATTGACACTTTATTGACACTTCTAAATTCGACAATATGATATAATGGCAACACGCGGCAACACTGAGGTTGCGTTCGGAAACACTCATTGGTGTGCCACTAATACACACCAACCATTCGAAAAACTCGTGTGCACTCGGTATGCACTAGTGCGAGATCGTTCAGAAACGTTGAGGTTGAGAGAATCACACCGAGTGTCACTCTCCACCCGTTGTGAAAAGCAAGGGGAGTCGGTGTGAGCCGGTGTTATGGCTGCAGCACAGATTTGCATAACGCATAATGCATAGTGCATAAGGAAATCGACTAATCGAAATTCTTTTTTTCCATGAAATGGAAAAAAATTTTTCCATGTAATTGTTACATTCTTGGGTCAAAAAATTTTGAGCAGTTATATTAATCCAGAAAATTTGTTTAAGTTTTACTATTTTTTTTATTTTTATTCTAACTTTTTTTTATATTGTTCTGCCTTTAATATTTTATTACACACTATACAACAGATTATTTGTATAAATGTTGTAAAATTGTATGTGTCCAGTACTACTTAGAACAAAACTAACTGTTCTAAGATCGACAATAAGCCTCGTAGAAACTAACAGATCTTTGGACGATGAAGCAACATCCAGCATCTAAAGTTTTATATCACCGATATCAATTTTCTTTAAGGATTTACAATAATAAAATCTGTTACAATCAGAATATGGTTAGTTGTCAAACCTGTTATGCTGATTCTACAATGAGTCGATAGTCGGAAATCTTAGTCGATAAAGTTAACCAATAATCAACTTGTAAGACAAACGCTGATTGATCAAATTCATCGATTAAGATTAATAGGCCTTCTACAATGAACCATAAGTCATAAATCAGAAGTCAGAAACTTGACTATTGTGATTGCTTCATTTCTAACTTATGACTTATAATTTATGATCTATAGCTTATTGTAGAAGGCCCATAAGACTACCGACTCATTGTAGAATTAGCATTATATTGGGTCATCTAAAAAGTATCCGCGGTTTTTTGTCACTAGATGTGTGTTGATAGTCGTATATCTAGTGACAAAGTACCGCGGATACTTTTTAGATGACCCAATATTAACTTGCATTTTCACGATGAAAAATTTTATCATTGTAAAGTCGATACAGCATATAATTACCCGGTACGATATAGTAAAATGTTTAATAGGCGCCGGTAATCATGGAAGGAATGACTTATTTCTTTCTTTTTATAATCATATACCGCCAATCATTCCTCTTTACAATCACCGCCTTTCTTCATCAGTGAATTGTTTAGCTCGAGATTATAGGATTAAACGTGAGCGGTGAGGTGGAATTGAGATGACACATACGCCACACGAAAGCCGTTCAGGAACACTCACCACTCAAAAGCACACAATACCCCCACTACTTCTCCACTGAAGTCACCGAACACACCAACGAGTGATGTTTCCGAACGCAGCCTGAGTGTTGGCCAGTGTCGGCCATATTGAATTTTGCATCTTGGGTAAAAGCTGATTGTTTCATTGCTCCCCATTACTTTTGAACGTATCCACCGGAATTCACCTTGTATATTTTCACCATCTTAATCTTAAGATGTCATGAACCAATCAGAGAACTAGTATCTTAAGACATTACTTAAGACGGTCTTAAATATAAGATCCAACTATGAATACCGACCCAGTAAACGAGAATGGATTGAAATGGATTAAAATGGATTCAGATTTTCAGAAATACGGATTCATGAATGTTAAAATGAATCCTTTTCAATCTTGAATGAATTTTTATTCATTTATAGAAATTGCATAAAGCAAATGTTTATGCCTTTTCAATCCTGAATGCATTTTTATTCATTTATAGAAATTGCATAGAACATATCTCTATGACTTTCAATCTAAAAATAATATTAGCATTTTCTGTGTGCATCGTGAATACTATTCAATTCAGAATTGTGAATAGAAAGTACAATTTTTTTCACTTAAATTCAAAAATAATATCAATTTCTGTGCAACGTAAATACTGCTCAATATGCTGAATATGAAATGGTTTTCCAATCTAATTAAATAAAAAAATTTTTATTTAAAAAATGGATCATAAATGCTAAAATTATTCAAAATTATAAGTAGGAAATTTTTCGTCTTAATCCAACTAAATTAAAAAAAGTTGTAATGTAAAAATAATTGAGCTATGTTCTTTTGTTTCTCTTTGATTAGAAGTAAAATGAATGATCGAGGTGAACACTCGCAAAGTCGCACACAAACCAAGAACACAGCTCGAACATTAGGCTAATCACGATGCGCGACATCGGCCAAGCGAGATTAGATTATCCGACACTTATCTAATGTTATTTCATAGTAATGTAAATTGTTTATACTTTGTTATATCTGTTAAATAATGATATTTTTATTATATCTATATAATTTCATTAGTTTAATTAGTTGTAATTGAAGTAGAGAATGAATAACACGTTTACTAATTGAAGAAGTGGTATAGCGAGTAACTTAGAAGATTCATAATCCAGAGGTCCCAGGTTCGAATCCCATTGAAATGTGTGTTTTTAATACCAATTTGAAGTTAATTTCAGGTATAATTATTATAAATGTCTTAGGAATAAAATTTGCCACCCTTAAATATGAATGTTTTTTTTTTTTTCGAATATTAAACTAGTGCCAGCTCGGATCCAATCCATTTCAATCCATTCAATCCATTTTCATGGATTTAAAGTACGCATTAAAAAAATTTTAATCCATTTTAATCCATTCTCGTTTGCTGGGGATCTACAAAGTTCTTCGCCAATCACTAAATACTAGAAATTAAAATTCTAGGCACCCAGGAAAAAGATTTCATAAAATTATATAAGTTATATTAGTTACATATTGTGTAAAATTATGTAAAATTAAGTATAATTATATATAAAATATGTCCAAATATGAACATATTTCATATATAGGATGTTCCTGACCTTCGAGATCATTTCTCGCGAATAAGTAGAGCGGACTGAGTTGAAAAGTCTTTTATTATTTTATTTTACAATTTTTGCAATATTTTAGGAGATATTAATTTCTAAGTATCACTAAATAAGCACATCGGCGTGGACTATCACTAAGTACTATATGCCCATCAGTCACGGTCGCTTGTAAATGGTAAAGGACTTTTCGATTCAGTTTAGTTATTCACCATATCAGCTCATGAGAAGCGATCCCGTAGATTGGGGATATCCTGTATAATTATATATGATTTTATATAACTGATATAAAATTACATAATTTTGTAAACTTTTTTTCTCCCGGGCGATAAAAAAAATTAAGAATACTAGTATAAAGTTACGAATTAGAGAAGAAAGATGATTTATAGTACAGTAATAATAAATTAAGTTTCCAATATGACATAAAATAAAATGTATAAGTACTTTGTACTTATCCAGCAAAAAGAGAATGGATTGAATTAAAATGAATTAAAATGAATTCAGATTTTCAGAAATATTGATTCACGTATGTGAAAATAAATGCTTTTCAATCCTGAATGCATTTTTATTCATTTATAGGAATTGCATGGAGCATATCTCTATGCCTTTCAATCTAAAAATAATATTAGCTTTTTCTATTTCTGCACAACACACACATTGTGAATACTGTTCAATTCAAAATTTTGAATATAGTTTTTCAATCCAATTGAATCTAATTGAATCCAATTAAATCCAAAAAAAAGTATTCGCTATTTTTAAAATACACATTCCGATAGAAAAAAATTTCAATCCATTTTAATCCATTCTCGTTTGCTAGATATGTATCTAAAATTTAAAAAATATCATACCAAAAAATAAGTAGATATAGATACAGATATAGGTATCTTTACTTATAAGGATCTAGATAATGCACTTAGGTATAGCTAAAGTATCTAAATACTATATCTAGATACTTTTACCTAGATACGTTCCAACACTGGAGATATCTTATGGATAAAGTTATTAACGACATATCCAAAAGTGAAGAAATTAGGCTTGAACTGATTGGAAGAAAGGTAAAACGAGAATGGATTGAAATGGATTAAAATGGATTCAGATTTTCAGAAATATGGATTCATAAATGTTAAAATGAATCCTTTTCAATCCTATATTTATATATGCATTTTTATTCATTTATAGGAATGACATGGAGCATATTTCTATGCTTTTCAATCAAAAAATAATATAGTATTTTGTGTATGTGCATCATGAATACTGCTTAATTTAAAATTCCGAATAGGAAATGCAGTTTTTCAATCCAGTTGAATCTAAAAATAATATCGGCCATTTCTGTGCATCGTGAATATTGTTTAATTTAAAATTCTGAATAGAAAATGTAGTTTTTCAATCCAGTTGAATCTAAAAATAATATCAGCCATTCTGTGCATGATGAATACTGCTAAATTTAAAATTCTGAATAGGAAATACAGTTTTCTAATCCAATTAAAAAGGCATTATGAGTGCTATTTTATTTAGAAATATAAATAAAAAAATTTTTCGTTTTAATTCAACTGAGTTAAAAAAAAATTGTATCGTAAAAATATATCATGAAAATTCTCCTTCATTTAATAGTTAAAAGAAACATAAAATGAACTATGTAAATATATTCAATAAATGTTATTTATATAAATTCCTTATTTTTAATTAATAAATTGCTTTTATGTATATTTTATATTAACACGTTTTCTTTATTAAATAGCGTATATTTTTTGTATAAAAGTTTTATAATAATAATTTCAATCTTAATCTTCAATGCCTAGTCTAATACGAGCCTTAAATGCAATTGAATGAATATATTTTATGGAAATTGAAAATAACAATTAAGGTAAACATTTGCCAAAAGATTAAAGTGAAAGACGAACATATCATTTAGGTGAATATATTAAGCCTATTCATTATTATATTTTATATATTTTTTTATATAAATTTTAACAAACCATTCTAAAATTTTCTTTGTTTTCCGCAAAAAATGAATATATAATAGTTCAGCAATAAAGAACAAATTTATTAACAGATTCCAGAAAACTTTCTTAGAAAATGTATTCTGAAAAACTTTCTCAGAAAACATATTCTGAATAAACTCATACATTACTTACTGTACATAATATT